ATGGTGCAGCAGGTCCTTCAGCGCTTCGGCTTCACTTGGTCCTCGCCACAGTCCTTGCAACTTAACCTATGGCTACCGGTCACTCGCTCTCAGCTCTGCCTTCGGATGAGTCCGTAGAGCCGAGTGGCCCGTACCCAGAGCTTGTGGGCTGCCTCATGTACCTGATGACCTGCACTCGACCTGACCTTGCGTACCCCCTTAGCATCCTGGCTCGCTACGTTGCGCCTGGGAGACACCGGCGAGAGCACAGGGAGGCTATCCACTAAGAGGGTGTTGCGCTACTTGTGCAGTACATCGGGCATAGGGCTCGTGCTTGGAGGACGGGGTGAGGTTGTCCTCACTGGACACTCGGACGCGTCTTGGGTTGACGACCTAGCTACGCAGCGGTCGTCACAGGGTTACACTTTCAGCCTTGGCTCTAGCTCTGTTTCTTGGCGGTCTACCCGCTCGTCTTCTGTTCTCAGCTACAGTTGTGAGGCTGAGATCTACGCCACAGCCATGGCTGCACAGGAGTTACGCTGGCTCACTTACCTGCTGACCGACTTGGGAGAGCGGCCTCGTTCTCCTCCAGTTCTGTACGTAGACAACAAGGCTGCTATTACCTTGTGTCAGGAGCACAGACTGGAGCACAGAACGAAGCACATCGCTCTGCGTTACTTCCTTGCTCGAGAGTTGCAGCAGCGTGGTCAGCTTCGTGTTGTTTTCGTGGCCACCCGGGCCAACACTGCTGATGTGTTCACCAAGGCACTTCCGTCTGGTGATCATCAGCGCTTCTGTACTATGCTAGGCCTTGTGCCTGTTTCGTCTCACTTGCTCACTTCGTGACTTTGATTGTACTGTGATTTAAATATATACCTGCATGCTTGATCTTGGTAAGTAGTGATCACTGTACTGTTGTTGTTGCATATATACCTCTGCATGTGAACTGGCCTTGTGGCCCTTTGCTTGTGCTCGGAGTGTGTGGTGACGTTGTGATCCACCCTGAGCTTGCTTTGCTTTTTTTGACTGGTCTTGTGACCCCTTGTTCTCCCCCACTTAGCCTATGGGGGTGTGTCAAACTATATCTGTGCTAGTTCTGTGTAGGCTATAGTGGGGTAGCCCATATGGGGTATAACCCAAAGTTAAGGTTAATACTTGTACCCACATTTCATTCAATGCACTCATTCCTACTTGTTATCTTGACAGAATCAACTGCGCATGGAATTGAATGAAACTTGACTTTTGAGTTGACTCAACAGCAGGCACGTTTGTTTCTGAGAATTTTCAAGAACCAACCAGCAGGCAGTGGAGGGAGAAGACGCTGATTCAAATTGTGCATGCATGGATTTAGACTTGAGTGCCACCTCGAAAAACAGCAGAAACAAAATCCACCTGCCTTCATCTCACCTTGACTTGGCTTGAGATGCCCGTGTGATTTGAAGAGCAGCAGCCAAGAGGAGAGCGAGGAAAGGGGAGAAGAGGGCAAGCGGAAGGAGGAGGAAGAGGAAGAGGAGTGCGGGCCAATGCCCCTGTTGTTGGCAGTTGAAATCAAGGGGATGGCAGGAGTTTGAAAAACACACAAGGATAGATTGGTGAAGAATGTGGATTAATTTCGCTACTAATTCTTATAATTCTTTCAAGCAAACAGGTTGAATCAAGAAGATGCAGGAATGGGCGATTCAACAAGTAAAAAAGTGTGTGCTTGAGAACAGAATGGTAAACTCAGACAGACTTATTGCGATCGAAGAGCCTGAAGAGGTGTCGCGACGTAGGTTTGTGCGCAGGTTTTATTGTAACTTACCATGCGGATGTTTGTGCCTTCATCTTCCCATAAACCAAACCGGGAGCGGCCGCGCCAGAAGATGATGCTAAGGGTCACTTTTAGCAAAGAAACGAGGAGGCAGAGAATTGCTGATGCGATTACGACTGCTAAGAGGATTGACACGAGTGCTGATGTCAGCGTGGAGAAAATACAGCTCAGCATGCACCGTGCTGATGCAAGGAGAAGCAAGAATGACGTGGCATGGTGTGGTCGGTTTGGGTTGATTTGGAGAGAAGAGGGAAGGAGGGTGCGGATAGAGGAGGGAAGGGTAGAGTGGAGGGAGGAGTGAAGGGAGGAGGTGAGTGTGTGAAGAAACGAGGTGAGTGAAGGAGAGAGTCTTGGAAGGGAAGGGAGGAAGAGGAGGAGCGGAGAGAGGAGGGAGTGGTAGAGAGGGAGAGGGTGAGAGGAAGAGGAAGCAGCAGAATGAAGCTGGAGAGTGGAGAATCGTGAGTGTGTGGGGGGTGATTCTAGAGGATGGGAGTGAGAGAGGGGGAGTGAAAAGAGAGAGGAGTGAGAGAGGGAGTGCAGGAGAGAGAAGATTATGAGCGAGGAGAGGAGGGAGCGTGGAACAGGGCTAGAGAAAGACGGCCAAGGAGAGGAGGCGATGAGAGAGAGGAGGGAAGGGAGAGTGTGGAGCGAGGGAGAGGAGTGGGAGAGTGAGTGAGAGAAGAGGTAGGAGGAGGTGCAGAGAGCGAGGGAGAGGGCCGAGCCGATGAGGAGAGGGAGGGAGGAGAGGAGGAGGGAGGCGAGGGATCGTGGAAGGTCAACGGAGATGAGGAGGGAGGCGGGGCAGGAGGGATCCACCTGGAGGGAGGGAGTGGGGGAAGTGGGGGAAGTGGGGGGAGTGGAGGGAGTGGAGGGAGTGGGAAGTTGAGGCACCGAGGGAGGGAGGAAGGGATTTGAAACGTCTCAGAACTTGGTGAGTAAGGGAGTAGGAATTCTGAGACTGTGAGAGAGGGAGTGGATGAGGGAAAGCATGCAAAGAGTATGATTTCTGATATGGGATGGCAAGGAGGAGAGGAGAGAGGTGGGCAGGGTGTTTGTGGGCGAGGGAGGGTGGGAGAGAAGGGATGTGAGTTTGACTTGAACCATGCAGGCTTTACCAGCAGCATCAAGGCGAGTCCGTCCTCTCTGCCCAAATGCACCACCTCCTCTGAGCCACCACTGAGATGAGAACACAGTCACTCGAGGAAAACCCACCGCTCCTTTTGTCAACTCAATAAACCTTACCAGCAGCATCAAGGCGAGTTCGTCTCTGCCCAAATGCACCACCTCCTCTGAGCCACCACTGAGATGAGAACACAGTCACTCGAGGAAAACCCACCCCTCCTTTTGTCAACTCAATAAACCTTACCAGCAGCATCAAGGCGAGTTCGTCTCTGCCCAAATGCACCACCTCCTCTGAGCCACCACTGAGATGAGAACACAGTCACTCGAGGAAAACCCACCCCTCCTTTCGTCAACTCAATAAACCTTACCAGCAGCATCAAGGCGAGTTCGTCTCTGTCCCAATGCTCCACCTCCTCTGAACCGTCTCTCAAAAAACTCCCGCCGGCATTGCGCTTGGCATGACTTTGCGGGTTCTGAGACGCGTCACAACGAGAGCTACTGTGTGCCGCTGCTCCCCCGCCTTCCTGCTCGCTCTTCTGCGAGCGGCATTGGGAATGGTGGCAATCGCGTCGGTGACAATGGGGGTGATTGTGGTGATAGTGGCAGTGGCGGTAGGAGGGGCGAGTGAGGTGTGGCGGGGGGGAGTCGAGCTCGAGGACTGTGGAGTGGTGGAAGGTATGGGACGACAGGATGTTATAGCTCCCTTCATGTTCACGTTGTAAGCAGCTTCTCCGGTGGCTCGCACTGGCTGCTGCAGTCTCAGATGCTGCAGGAGCAGCAGTGTGAGCAGATGCCAGGATAGCAACAGCAGGGTGACAACTGGTGGGACTCGGCTGGGCTCCTGGAGAAGATGGGGGAGATGGAATGGGCGAGAGGGGGATGGAATGGGGGAGAGGGGGATGGAATGGGGGAGAGGGGGATGGAATGGGGGAGAGGGGGATGGAATGGGGGAGAGGCGGATGAGATGGGATGGGATGGGGGGGAGATGGGAGAGTGGGGATGAAGAGAGGGACGATTCCCATCTGGTGGCATCCATACGCTGTTAATAAGGGGATTCCTATTAGCGGGTTTAGATATCAAATAATAACATTTGAGATGTCCTAAGTGGGGAAACGCTGGAGGTGGTTTGAGGTTGGGAGGGCAGCAAGTGGAGGTGGATGATGGGTGGGGGGTTGAGAACTTGAGATGTCTCAAAGCTCAGATGCTGAGACGTCAGGAAACTCAAATGCAGACGTCTCAAAAGTGGGGAAACGTACCAAGGGACACGCTGGAGGTGGTTTGAGGTTGGGAGGGCAGCAAGCGCAGGTGCAGAGAGAGATGAGCAGCAGCAGGTGGGGGCGAGAAAACGGACAGAAGCGGCTGCTGCTCCTGTCCCTGATGCTGCTGCTGCTGTTGCTTCCGATTGGCGGAGATTGATGATAGTGGCTGCACGCAGGTGAAGCATAAGCATGAGTGTGAATAAGTTGAAGAGCGTCAGTGGAGAGACCAACCGAGACATGGTTTAGCAGATGTAGAGGCTGAAAGATTCGCTTCAAACACATGCTTCCTTAATTGCTTTAAGCGTTTTCCTCGGGTTTGCTGCTATTCCATTGGGAGGTTGAATCCTTACCATATGACTTTTGAGGCGCCTCAAAAGCTTGAATCCTTACCATATGTCTTTTGAGGCGCCTCAAAAGCTTGAATCCTTACCATATGTCTTTTGAGGCGCCTCAAAAGCTTGAATCCTTACCATATGTCTTTTGAGGCGCCTCAAAAGCTTGAATCCTTACCAGTTGTAGAGGCTGAACGATGGAGAAGAGCAATGATAGCAGGGAGAGAGACTTTGACGGAGAGGAGTGGATTGGAGTGGTGGTGGAGGAGTTGACTTTTCAGTCGACTAAAAAGTTAACTCAGTATAATGTCACACGGTACTTTTTCTACACACAGGGCTATTCTTGCTTGGAGTTTACCAAAACGAGTTGGTAATTTTTTAATTTCAGCTCATAAGTGCTAGTTCACTGTAGACTTGTTTTCTACTGTTTTCATCTAGCTTTCCCCCACCTTCCCTGGCCACGCGGAGGAATGCCTTACGAGGTGTAGAGGCTGAACGATGGAGAAGAGCAATGATAGCAGGGAGAGAGACTTTGACGGAGAGGAGTGGGTTGGAGTGGTGGTGGAGGGGGAGGAGGAGGAGGAGGAGGAGGAGGAGGAGGAGGAGGAGGAGGAGGAGGAGGAGGAGGAGGAGGAGGAGGAGGAGGAGGAGGAGAGGAGGAGGAGGAGGAGGGGAGGAGGAGGAGGAGAGGAGGAGGAGGAGGAGGAGGAGGAGGAGGAGGAGGAGGAGGAGGAGGAGGAGGAGGAGGAGGAGGAGGAGGAGGAGGAGGGGGAGGAGGAGGAGGAGGAGGAGGAGGAGGAGGAGGAGGAGGAGGAGGAGGAGGAGGAGGAGGAGGAGGAGGAGGAGGAGGAGGAGGAGGAGGAGGAGGAGGAGGAGGAGGAGGAGGAGGAGGAGGAGGGGGAGGAGGAGGAGGAGGAGGAGGAGGAGGAGGAGGAGGAGGAGGAGGAGGAGGAGGAGGAGGAGGAGGAGGAGGAGAGTGGAGGGTGGAGATTGAGTGTTGCCAGGTCCACCGAAAGGAAGTGCAGAGGGGGGCGAGGCTTGCCCTGATAAACAAGAGGAGAGAAGGAAGAAGGGAGAGAAGAAGAAGGGAAGGCAGGTGAGAGTGTTGCTTTGAGGCGGGCAGGTGGGAGTGTTGCTTTGAGGCGCCTCTAAAAATAAGCTCCACAGAGAGGAAGTGCAGAGGGGGGCGATATTTCCCCTGTGAAGTGAAGCAAGAGGAACACGGATGGAGGAAGGAAAAGAGATGGAGATTGCATGTGATTGCTCGTTCTTCTGAGGCGCCCATGATCAGCTCCCAAAGACGTGGAGAGGGGGGCGAGGTTTGTGCATGGACGAAGAGGAACAAGAGGAACAAGAGGAACAAGAGGAACACGGATTAAGAGAAATGATTGCGGATCGAGTGATGACACTGGCTGTGAAGACGTCTCAAAGTGTGAGTACACTGGTGGTTACGCTGGGAATTGAACTCCGCACCTTTGTATTGATATTCACATGCAGAGTAGCCGTCCTTACACGACCAGCACCACCCCCGTCTGCTATCTCCAGAGGCAGTATGAGCAGGGCAAGAGGGGACGGCTGGGGCACCTGCCCTGTGACCTGCTGTGATGCCGGTGATACTGGGAGGGACTGGGTGGAAGGGAGGGAAGGGAGGCAAGGGGAGGCGAAGGCAGAGGCAGCATGAGCACAGCAGCCCTGTGACCTGCTGTGCTGTGATCCCTGTGATACTGGGAGGGAGGCAAGGAAGAGCGAGTAGAGGCTGGTTAGGAATAAAAGCACAATTACTAGTCTATTCATATTTAAAGCCCCAAACCGTAAGCCTTAGGAACTGAACATTTCACCCTTTTTTTAAACGTTTTTGTTTATCTTCTTTTGTAATTGGCAATGCGGGATTGAGTGATGCACTTTAAGGCACTTACAAAAGCACTGCTTCCGTGTGGGGAGGGCAGAGGCACGAGCACCTGTGTCAAATCATAGGATGACACGTCACCCTCACTTCCATCGCCACAACTCCCCTCCTCCTCCCCAAACCCTCCCTCCACCTCCCCTGCCTTACTGCCACAAGCCGTACGGTCTCTCCTCACTCCCATTTTCCTCGCCTCCTGCTCTCCCTCACCCTCCCCTTTCACCCTCTTATCGTCTCCCTGCCTCCTCTCCTCCTGCGTTCTTATATCGAGGGGATCCTCTCCATAGCTCTCCTCCCCGGCCCCCTTCTGTGTGCTTATAACGAGGGTGAGATTCATGCCGTCGCATGGGAGCACATTCGATAGAAGAACCAGGGCCCTGCTGCTGCCGCCTGCTGTGTGGGGTGATGGTGCTTCAATCTGTAAGATGCGTTTTTGGGAGCGGGAGGGTTTGGGGTGGGAGGGTTTGGGGTGGGAGGGTTTGGGGTGGGAGGCAGGAGGAGATTCGACAAGGGAATGAGTTTGGGTTGGGGGTATCCAAATTCTTATGGCCTCGACAGAAACAGAACACATTCTTATGGCCTCGACAGAAACAGAACAAATTCTTATGGCCTCGACAGAAACAGAACAAATTCTTATGGCCTCGACAGAAACAGAACAAATTCTTATGGCCTCGACAGAAACAGAACACATTCTTATGGCCTCGACAGAAACAGAACAAATTCTTATGGCCTCGACAGAGACAGAACAAATTCTTATGGCCTCGACAGAAACAGAACAAATTCTTATGGCCTCGACAGAAACAGAACTGATACAAGAAGCAACGTGTCGAGAGTGCATGGAATGTGCGATAATATGTGATCCCCCCCCCCCCCCCCCCCCCTCTTTCACCACAAACAAAAACAGATATAATATTGGTTTGATAGATCTGGTAAATTTGAGTGGAGAAATGAAAGAGGGATGGAAGGGACGGAGGATGGACAGGGGAGGGGAGGATGGGAAGTTACAGCTTTACACAAAAGGTTCATTGTATGTGATGATTGATTTGTTCTGAGACGTCTCAAGGCAGGGGAGGGGAAGATGAGAATCCTCAAAAGTAACTTTACACGAAAGGTACAACACTGTACATGCCACACTGTAAATGCCACTCTCTCAGCTCACAGGCATTTACACGAAAGGTAGAACACTGTAAATTCCACAACACTCTGAGCAGCCATCTCAGCTCACAGGCAGGTTGATGTGGAAAGAGAGTGACTTATGGGCGTGGGAAGGCTTGAGCGCCTTAAAACTTTTACACCGAGGTAGAATGCTATATGTGCTAAAAGAATTCCTATACCTGTAACCTGAACAGCCATAGCTCACAGGCAGGTTGATGTGGAAAGAGAGTGACTCATGGGCGTGTGAGGCCCATTTGTGTACGAACGGGGCTGAGTTCAGCTGCACTGATGTGTGCCCCTCACTCCTCTGCTCTTGCTTCCACTTCAGTTGCTGCTCCTGCTGCTGCTGTTGCTGTTGCTGTTTCTGCTGCTGCTGTTGCTGTTTCTGCTGCTGCTGTTGCTGTTTCTGCTGCTGCTGTTGCTGTTTCTGCTGCTGCTGTTGCTGTTTCTGCTGCTGCTGTTGCTGTTCCTGCTGCTGCTGTTGCTGTTGCTGCTGCTGCTGCTGCTGTTTCTCCTGTTCTGTTTGCTGCACAGTAGGCTCATGGAGTGAAGCGGGTGAAGCTGCTCTGTCTGGGGATCCAAGCAGCAAGGGCCGGAGTAGGAGAGGCGGGGCGGACAGGTGGCAGGAGATGATTGCATGGCGTGTGATAGGGGAGGAGAAGGGCTGCGACGTGTGTGGGTTGACGAGGGATAGGAGGGCGTGCGCGAGCTGTGGGAGAAAAGGGGGTGATTTAAGAGAAGGGAGAGAAGTGGGGAGGTGGGGAGGACAGGTGGCGACTAGGAGATGATTGCACGGCGCATGTTAGGGGAGGAGAAGGGCTGGGATGTGCATGGGTTGACGAGGGACAGGAGGGCGTGGGCGAGCTGTGGGCAGGACCCAGAGGAGAGGTAGGGATGGGAGGGAAGGGGAGAAGGGGGATGGGGATGGGGCGGGGGATGGAAGGGAGAAGGGTTGTACGTGCATGGGTTGACCAGTGATGACAGGAGGCATGGGAATGCTGAGGGCGGGTAGGTTAAGAGTGTGGGTTGATCATATACCATCACATACCACCGCATATCACCACACACCACCGCACACCTGAGCCACGGGCTGGTTGCACCACACTGCCTGCTCGTGCCCTGCTGAGAGCCCCACAGATGAGGGGATGTGCTAGCGGCACAGCACAGGCACTACCACCACACAAGACTGCGTACCACCACACACCACCGCATACCATCACACACCTGAGCCATGGGCTGGTTGCACCACATTGCCTGCTCGTGCCCTGCTGAGAGCCACACGTGAGGGGCTTTGCCGAATGAAAGGTGCAGGAAGGTGGTATCTGGGGGGGGGGTACTGCTGCCGCCCATGAACGGACCTGGAAGGAGGGGGGCGGAGGGTGGTGGGAGGGGCAGAGGGTGATAAAGGGGAAATAAGAGCAGTCGTGAGGGCATGTGGTGAATGGGAGCTGGTGTCTGGGGACGGGGTACTGCTGCCGCCCATGAACGATTTTTGAGGCGCCTCAAAAGTCGTGAGGGTGTGTGCTGAATGGGAGGTGGTATCTGGGGAGGGGGGTACTGCTACCGCCCATGCCCATAAACGGACCTGGAAAGACGAGGGCGGACGGTGGCAGACGGGGCAGAGGGTGACCGGAAAGGGGAGACGAAGAGCTTTAAGGGCATCCAGGGGCGGAAAGGAGACGGGGGGAAAGGAGAGGAAAGAAGGGTGGTTGGGGGCATAAGAGTGTGAAGTGAAGTGACGAGAGAGTGTGGGAGAAACAATGAAGGAGAGCGAGCAGGTAGCGGTGGTGGAAGTATCACAAGAGGTGGAGTGAGAGGAAAACAGAGGGGAGCACTGAGTGCCTCCCGCACCATCGGCATCATATGTGTATCACTTTTGAGAATACTCAACATGTGTATCTGCCGCACATCTGCCACTTCAGGTAATATCTATCTGGTACCAGACCAATCTCACCAGCCAATCTCACCAGCCAATCTCACCAGCCAATCTCACCAGCCAATCTCACCAGCCAATCTCACCAGCCAATCTCACCAGCCAATCTCACCAGCCAATCTCACCAGCCAATCTCACCAGCCAATCTCACCAGCCAATCTCACCAGCCAATCTCACCAGCCAATCTCACCAGCCAATCTCACCAGCCAATCTCACCAGCCAATCTCACCAGCCAATCTCACCAGCCAATCTCACCAGCCAATCTCACCAGCCAATCTCACCAGCCAATCTCACCAGCCAATCTCACCAGCCAATCTCACCAGCCAATCTCACCAGCCAATCTCACCAGCCAATCTCACCAGCCAATCTCACCAGCCAATCTCACCAGCCAATCTCACCAGCCAATCTCACCAGCCAATCTCACCAGCCAATCTCACCAGCCAATCTCGCCTGCCAATCTCACCAGCCAATCTCACCAGCCAATCTCACCAGCCAATCTCACCAGCCAATCTCACCAGCCAATCTCACCAGCCAATCTCACCAGCCAATCTCACCAGCCAATCTCACCAGCCAATCTCACCAGCCAATCTCACCAGCCAATCTCACCAGCCAATCTCACCAGCCAATCTCACCAGCCAATCTCACCAGCCAATCTCACCAGCCAATCTCACCAGCCAATCTCACCAGCCAATCTCACCAGCCAATCTCACCAGCCAATCTCACCAGCCAATCTCACCAGCCAATCTCACCAGCCAATCTCACCAGCCAATCTCACCAGCCAATCTCACCAGCCAATCTCACCAGCCAATCTCACCAGCCAATCTCACCAGCCAATCTCACCAGCCAATCTCACCAGCCAATCTCACCAGCCAATCTCACCAGCCAATCTCACCAGCCAATCTCACCAGCCAATCTCACCAGCCAATCTCACCAGCCAATCTCACCAGCCAATCTCACCAGCCAATCTCACCAGCCAATCTCACCAGCCAATCTCACCAGCCAATCTCACCAGCCAATCTCACCAGCCAATCTCACCAGCCAATCTCACCAGCCAAT